CATGTTGGTTTATTTTTAGGGATCTCTTGGATTCCCAGGATTCCCTGGTTCAAACGGCGAGAAGGGAACAAGGGTAAGACGACGTCTCTGTGGAGGAATTAACATCAAAACTCAGACATTTAAACTTAACAAGGATAAAGTTTCTCAGGTTATAACTAATGTTTAATGTTAACTGTCTGTCTGATTCTCTTCAGGGTACTTCCGGCAAACCAGGTCCGAGAGGACAGAGAGGCCCGACGGTACTTTTTCTGTTTCTTATGCTCAGGTTTTAGAAGCTGCTCTGCTCACAGCATTAAAGAATAACCTATCAGTACATCATCAGTGTAACCTCTGGTGATCAGCAGAAACACAGTTTTCAGAGCTGTTTAATTATTCCTTCAAATGATTTGAGTGTGTCGTAGTAACTTAACTATATGTGCTGTTTTTGACCATCAGGGCCCCCGAGGGCAGAGAGGGCCGAGGGGCGCCACGGGGAAACTAGGAGCAAAGGTTTGTCTGCACACCTGAAACAAACTGTCCACACTGTGATTTACTGATGAATCCTGTTTTCACTTCATATTTTACATGAATGTGTGAAAGAAATTACTCGTATCTCATCTTTATATAAATATTGTCAGCGCTGGATTTTTTTAAACAAGACTTGCCTAAAAACCCTCGATGCCATTTACATTTATTGCTTTTGATTTTTGCATGTAAATAATTTAAATAAAGAAAAGAAGAGTTTGTATTTAATTCATTCTTTTTATTGCTCCTGTCAGGGAACCTCAGGAAGTGATGGACCTCATGGTCCTCCTGGAGAGAGGGTGAGTGTTGACGTTCACAGAAATGTGTCCTGCTTGGAAAAATTTACTTTTAAATTTGAGTCGTGTATTTAATGTTCTTACTTTACCACATATGATTTCTCAGGGTTTGCCAGGACCTCAGGGAGCCAATGGTTTCCCCGGACCAAAGGGACCTCCTGTAAGTAAACGTTTTCATCTACGGTTCCTCACAGACTGATTATAGTAATGTTACAAATTCAGGGTGATATCACTGAGCTATTAATAAAAAAACTGAGGTACTTTGTACAGTTTGATAAAATTGGTTTATTGTTTTATTACAGGGACCACCAGGAAAGGATGGCCTGCCAGGACATCCCGGACAGAGAGGAGAAGTTGTAAGTTAAATTTGTATTTTTTATTTATTTATTTATTTATTTTTCTTTCTTAAAGGTGCCTCCACCTGAGCTCACTGAGTGGAGCAGGTGGCCCATACGCCTTAAGGCTAATCCATAGATGTGGGTCCACTGCATGTCTTCCTCCCAGCTTTGCTGTCTTCTGTCTGTCTGAAGTATTTAAGTAGTGATCTGTGAAATTTAATGCACAGAGATGTTTGAATCTGTATTTATGGAGAAGAATTATTTGTGTTTTGTGTCAAATAAACAAAAAAAGTCATCACAGCAGACTTTTCTTCATCTCAGTCGCAGACTGTGATGATGGTTATGAGAGGACACGTCTTTGCCTTTCAGATCTGAGCGTCTGTGTTTTCTAGATAAACTGTTAACTGAGTTTGTGTCTTGCAGGGTTTCCAAGGTAAAATGGGTCCACCTGGGCCTCCTGGAGTTGTTGGACCTCAGGTGAGTTCATTCATCGTGGTGCACATACTGTTACTGTTACAGTAAATCACATCACGAGCCAACTTACACACTTCACCCTGCTGCTTTTCATTCTTCCTTCCATCATTGCTTTCTTCTTCTCTCAACCCTCTCCATGTCCATCTTCCAGGGCCCATCAGGAGAGACCGGCCCCATGGGCGAGCGTGGCCATCCCGGACCTCTAGGTCCACCTGGTGAGCAGGGGCTTCCTGGTCCCTCAGGGAAAGAGGGCACCAAGGGGGACCCTGGACCCACAGGACGCCCTGGAAAAGATGGTCCTCCAGGACTGAGAGGCTTCCCAGGAGAGAGAGGACTTCCTGGAACCCCTGTGAGTATAAATGATCCAGCATATGTCATCAAGCCAGGATCCAGGTGTTTAA